TCTGAAGAATAAATACACACATTTGCACACATTCTTATCAATTTATATATATATATATATATATGGGTGCCAGTTGGGTTACTTAGTTTTGCCTACATTAACATATATTGACAATTATCATTAGCCTAATTAAGAATTAGTGTTTTATGCTCATATTTCATATAATAATAAACTCTATGCAGGTATAAGGATTTAAGAGTTTTGATAGTTCTTGGCAAATAATCTTCAGATGAGATCCAGGGGAGATAATAAGGATTTAGGTGTCTGTCTTTGCTTATACAAAGAGCAGTTCCAATAAAGCAACAATTATTTAATCTCAAAAGCTACTTCATTTAATTTCACTTCTCAGTGGGTGCTCATTGAAAGGGGTCATGTGTTAGAATAAGCAAATAGTCCGATTTAGTCAAAAAAGAAATTTTAAAATTTAGTCATCACTGAATTTGAAATTAAACTCATCTGGTTTATCGACTTCTTTACTTGATACAAGGATTGAGTGTATTAGATCTCAATTTTGTTACACTTATATAGACTTTGCTATCAAGAGAATTTTTTTTTTCTTTTTTTTATTGCTTCTATTTTGTGGGGTCATTATTGACCCCCCTCACCAAGTTTTCTTAAACCAATCCTTTGCAACAAAGTCAAACTTTGGATTAATCAAAAAGACAGATTGGGATTTTAAAATCAATAAACTTAGTTCTATGTTTTGAATGTCATATTTTCATGTTTTTATATCCATTGCTCTGAGTTAGGACTGTCATGTACTATCCCTGAACATCCCAAAATGGAGTGGAGATGAGCCTGACTGGGAGCCCTGGGCAGTGCTTTGCAACTATCTTATCAACATTTACTTTTATCTACCTACATGTATATGTGTTATAATTTAAACTCAACACAACTGATTATTAAAAGGATGAAAAATTTTCTTGGATTTTAATGTGATTCCTGTTTTTTTTTTTTTGTTTTTCTTTGTCCGAATCTGTGAATTTGTTTTGCTTATGCTAAATCTAAAAAAAAAACGCTGTATAAAATTCCTTATTTGTCAAAATTATTAAACATTTTAATAAGAAAAATCTCAAGCTGATGTCAAAAATTAAAATGCCCTATTATGACATGTCTCTAACTTTATTTTCAATTTTTCTAGTTGAATTATTCACGTATATTGCATATGATCCATTATTCTGTATATTTAGGTTACAATAAAATTTGTATTTTATATGAATACTACCTTATGAAAATTGAGATGTTGTAGAGTGGGAGAGCCCTGTATCATAGATTTGGGAGTGGGCAATGAGACCTTTCCCTTGTCCCTGTTCTCATCTATGCATTGTCAAATTGCTCATCAACCAGACCTCTGTCAAAATCTCTGAGTTGGGTAGTGTATACTTGAACGCAGCATACAATAAACTATATGTTAAAATTTACCATTAAGAAAAATTTATTAAAACTTGCTTCACATTCAAAAAAATATCCAATATCTTGTGAAGTTGGCATTTGTGGTAGGCTAATATTTTTCCATATACTATCAGTAATCCTAATAATAAGGATTCTATATACATTAAGTCTAATCAGCCTTCCCTCTGTAAGCAGCAGGGTTAATTACTAGGTCTAAATGTAATTTATATTGCTGATTCTCAGGTAGGAACTTCCCTTTTTTAGTTATTGTGCTCATATCGTGTGATTCTATATTGCAGGCTTACTCATGATGCAATTGAAGGCCTGAACTAGAAGCCTATTTCAGAAGCTCTCCATTTCCCTGGGAGTGATAAATTTTATTTTCAGTTTGGATTTGTGATAGTTTGCTATTGTAGTCAGCTTAAAAAATTCAAAGAAAATTATGCTTTTACCTGTTAAATAACTCAAGCTTAAATAATAATAATGGTTCAAGCAAAGCACAACAATATGTCTGGAAGGATATTCCACCAAAACACGCTGTCAGAAGAATTTCCAATAATGTGCAGACTAAAACAAGGATGTGTCTTGGCACCTATGCTATTCTCTTTGTATCTGGCTGCAATATTTCATAAACTTCCTCCAGACAATCAAAGAGTTGACATCAGATATTGATATGATGGAGGACTTTTTAACCTTAGTAGACTTTGAATGAAATGTCTAATATGCTAAAATCTAATAAATATTTTCTGGATTTAAATAGCCTGCAAAAGGTTGATAAGCTGTAAAAAAAAATCATATCAATCCCACTTGTGAAGCCCTTTTCTCAATAATAACGACTTAGCAAAATAGACATTTTTGATAGATTTGGGAAAGTCATTGATTCATTCATTTTCTATGGTTTATCAACCCTTTGTAGGTTATTTAAAGCCAGAAAATATTTTTAGATTGTAAGAATTTTTTTTTTTGAGATAATGGTTTAGTGATACAAGTCTTACTAATTAACCCATATATAGGGGGAGAACAGTTGGGTTCACAAATAATTAGGACTTGCTAAACAAACTAGAAATTAGGTGGATAAAAAGTGGGGGGTCAATTCTATGTTACAATCAATATATAAACTGACCCCTCACTTTGTATCCACGGTAGTTTCTATACATTAATATTCTAGAAAATGTAAATAAATATAAAAACATGCCTGTGCAGCAGATGAGTATTTCATTGATTGATTCATTCATTCTTTGATGGCTTATCAACCCTTTGCAGGTTATTTAATGCCAGAAAATAGTTTTAGAGTGTAAGAATTTTTTTTTCGGAGATAATAATGGTTTAGTGATACCAGTCTTACTAATTAACCCATAACTTGGGGAAAAAGAGGTGGATTCACATCTTTTTCAATGATATTTGTGTGAAAGTGAATATAATGAACCCAACTGGAATTGAAACTCAGCTCTCTGATTAAAAATTCCAAGTCATTACCCATTAAACCATCTGCACATCCAAGCTTACAACACCTGGCATTCCCAAATGGTTACCCATCTAGGTACTGATCAGGCTTGACATTGCTTCACTTTGGTGATTTTATGGGGATTGATAACGTCATATGAGTTTTTAATAGTCATAATTGGGGGATCGATTTTCTATTGTTAATAAGTAATAAAATGATCCCCCACATTATGTTAGCATAATTATTGGAAGGCCTGTACGAAAAGTTTTTCCTAGTAGTAAGGACTTGGCAAAATATACACATTTTTGATGGTATAGTTAAGCTATCACTGGAGTCTTAAAAGTTGACAACCCGAGCTTGTATATGTTGACAAATATGGTATTAAAGAAAAGTTAACATGCTTTGAATTAAATATTTATAAAGGTAGATATAATTCACAATAATGTAAACGACGGCAAGCGTATATAAACACTCGGAGGTACGTGTATATCAGTCTAAACGGCTTGAACATGATTTTGATATTTAAGTAAAAGGAAGAAAAAAAATTGAATGTCAGCAAAATGTGTGAGAAAGAAATGCAGACAATTTTGAATCTGAATAAAAGAATAAGTCTGCTATGTTTTCATGAAATGAACTGATCTTAAGGCGATGTACCACAGATTGATTCTCTTCCATGTTCTTGTTGATGCTGCAAAAGCGAGTAATGATTCTTGAAGGTAATATTGACAAATTCCTGTAAAAATAATGTAGAGTCAAATTTGAAAAATGAAAAATAAAAATATACAAGAGATGTTCTCTGGTCCCTACACCATCCACCAAAATAGATACGAGACATAAATGAGTGACTATACAAATATTTTTCCTTGGTTCCTATCATTGGGAGGGTTTTAAACAGTAAAAATAAAGATGCTTTTCATATTTTTAGGTAGATATTTATTTATTTATTTGATAGTTCTTTTAATTCTATCGTTCTGTTTTTGGTCTTTTCTATTTGTCAATTTTCATTTTGAATATTTCTCATTCGTTTGTTGCTTCATCCTTTCTTTCTTTTTATTAATTTCTTTCGTTTTTTTTTATTTTTTATTTTTTTATTCATGTTAATTTCTTTCTTTTCTTCTTTTTTCTGTTTTTTCTTTAAATTATTTCTACTTCATTTCACTCTATCTTTTTTAATCATTTTTTTCCTTCATATAAATTAATTCTTTTTTTCTCTAAACTTATTTTTATTTTCATCCTTTTTCTATTTTTTATTCATATTATTTCTCTTTCATTTCTCTTTATCTTTCATATACACTTTTTTTCTTCAGATGAATTAAATCTTTTTTTTTTCTCTATCTTTGTTTTATTTTCATCTTTTTCCTATTTTTTCTTCATATTACTTTCTTTTCTATAAAGATTTTATCTTTCCTCCTGACTGCCTTTTTTCAATCCAAGTCCACCATTTTATTTCTTTCTTTCTTGTCTCTTTCTTCTTCGTTCTTCGTTCACTCTTTTGTTTCTCTCCTCTTTCTTTGCTTTACTCAATGTGAAATCATTCTTTCCTTTACTTTACCTTTTTTTTTCTTTTGTCCACTTTACCATCATATTCGATACCAGATTTAATGTCACTTCTCTTCTTTCCTGTCTTTTCCTACCCTTTCCTTCCTTCATATATATATATATATATATATATATAATCCTGACTGAATCAACTATTGAGCAAAGACTACAAAGAAATTGACCAATTCAGTAGATTTTAATTATATGTTTTTTAAATTTATTTATATAATAATGTATTTTTATTATATATATATATATATATATATATATATATATATAAAAAAAATACATTTTGTCTTCACTGATAACACAATTCTGAGTTTTATACACAATGTAATTGTCAGGTGCTGATTGAAAACTATTATTCTCAGCAGCACTCAATATGCAATATTATATATATATATATATATATGTATTTGGTTGGATTGATGATGTTAGCTCTATCTCTGATATTGAGCGCTTTCTAATAAGTCCTGCGCATATAATATATAAATAATTACATATATATATATTTATATACACACACTTTTCATATATATATATATATATATATATTCTTTCAGTCTTTCGTTCTCTTTTAATTCATTCATTCTTGTTTTTATTCTTTAATTCATTCATTCTTGTTATGAATCTTTCTTCTTTAATTCATTCATTCTTGTTTTCATTCTTTCTTCAATTCTTGTATTCTTCAATTCTTGTATTCTTCAATTCTTGTATTCTTCAATTCTTGTATTCTTCAATTCTTGTATTCTTCAATTCTTGTATTCTTCAATTCTTATTCTTCAATTCTTGTATTCTTCAATTCTTGTATTCTTCAATTCTTGTATTCTTCAATTCTTGTATTCTTCAATTCTTGTATTCTTCAATTCTTGTATTCTTCAATTCTTGTATTCTTCAATTCTTGTATTCTTCAATTCTTGTATTCTTCAATTTTCATATTCTTCAATTTTCATATTCTTCAATTTTCTTCAATTCTTGTATTCTTCAATTCTTTCTTGTTTTCATTCTTTCTTTCATTCTTTTTTCATTATTTCTCTCTTTTTTTTATTACATTCATTCATTCATTCCTTTTCATTCTTTCTTTAATAGTGTCTTCCTTTCCAATAATTTTCTCTAACTTAAATACCTCCTTATTTTTAATATTTATTCAACTTTTGAATGTATTCCTTTTTTTAAAATTCAATATTGTCACTACATGGTTTTCATTTATATATATATATATATATATATATATAGAGAGAGAGAGAGATGGTTTTTTTAATACCATAATTCCCCATGTATAATACGCATTTTTTTCTAAAATAATAAGCAAAATCAGGGGTGCGTATTATGCACAGCTACAAAAAATCTTTTAAAAATTGCCGTAAAATAAAATAAGAATTATCATAAAACTAAATTAGAATAATATTATTCTATGTTTAAAACCATTTTTTAAATAAGAATAAGAAATGCTGGTTGTAATGAAATTGGAGAGGTACAATTTATAGGGTTTGATTACCAAACAAGGGGTGCATATTATGCATGAGTAGAAGCATTTTCTCATATATTCAATGTAATTTTCGGGTTGCGTATTATGGATGAAGGTGTATTATACATGGGGAATTACAGTATATTATTTTAACTATTTCCAAAAGTTTTCTTTTTTCATTTTCTTCTCCTCTTCCTAACATTACATTAACCAATGTGGTTTTTACTTATTACTTATATTTTTTACTTATTGTTTATATTTTTTATCTTTCATTTTTCCAGTTTTGTTTTTTTTATTATAACAAAAAAAAAATATTATTTTTCACTTTTTGGTAAATTCTACAGCTCATTCCTTAAGTTGTTCACCATTTTTCTTCTCATCTTATCTTTATCCCTATCTTTTGAGACTTTACTTTTGTTTTATTCCTTTTTCCTTCATCAACATTCCTTTTCTTATTTCCTTAGATATGATTCTTATTTCTGCCATTTTTGTCAAAGTAAAAACTCCTTCCAAACAGTTTTCTCATGTCCATTTTCTTTCTTTCTCTCTCCATTCCTTCTTTTCTTTCTCTCTCCATTCCTTCCTTTCTTTCTCTCTCCATTCCTTCCTTTCTTTTTACCTTGACTTCTCTACCAATTTTTCTTTAATTTAAATTTTTTTTTTCCTTTTTTACTCAAGGAGCAGATATCTTGTAGGTATTTTTGGCTAAAAAAAATGCTTTTGTTAATAAAAAAATATATAAATAGAATAAAACTTACCCTGCAGCTACACGTTCTTATCTTTTTTCATTCAAAAATGCATGCATATCTTCCCCATTCCTCCTTGCATACCTTCTTTATAATAAATGTTATATATATATATATATATATATATATATATATATATATATATATATAATAAATTATATATTTTGTCTGTGTGTGTGTATATATATATATATATATATTTTGTGTAAATATATATCTGAATTTCTCCCTCTCTTTCTCTCTATATATGTACATGCATATATGCACACATTCATGTATATTTATTTTTTATATGTAAATATCTAACATGTGTATATGTGTCTGTATATACATGCACAAAATTGTCTGTTATATATATATATATATATATATATATATATATATATAAAGGTATATATTTATGTATATATATATATATATATATATATATATATATATATATATATATATAGATTGATGTGTGCCTTTGCATCCTTTTAAAATATATAAAAAATATAATTGCTGCATCATGACACTCACACACACACACACACACACACACACACACACACATATATATATGTATATATTTGTGTGTGTCTTATCTCTAACACTCTCACTCGGTATATACACACATGTGTATGTATATATACACACATGCACACACACATACATATATATATATATATATATATATCTGATGTGTGTGTATATATATATATATATATATATATATATAAAAATCAAGTTATATAGGTACGTCTGGTCTGCATATACTAATTTTTCTACATACCTACACACACACACACACACACACACACATATATATATATATGAGTGTGTGTTTGTATTTTCCTTGATCCCTTCTCCTTTACGTGGACTACTTGTCTTCGCCCCTCCCTTTCTCCTTTGCATTTTTATATACCTTCCACTTGCAAGCACGCCCTACTTGCCTTACCCACAGCCACCTGTCCCAACAAAGTATATTTTTCTTTCATTCCTCATCCCCTGTGCACAATGCCACCTTCTCTCTTTCTTTTCACTCATACATCATTCAAATCTTGCATCAAATAACTTCCTTTGTCAGTTTCACTTAGACGCAGATTCACACCTTCCAGTTGTGTAACCAGCCTCTGTACGCCTGGATTGACATGCCATCTTTTCAGGCTAGAAAAATAATATTTGAATCCTGCTCAGTGGTATGACAAAGGCCCAGCCGAAGACAACAGTAAAATGGAGGTTATAAAAGATACAATTATTTTATAAACAGAACCACACATACACACTATATATATATATATATATATATACAAATATATATTTATTTTAATATATTTTCTGTTTATATGTTATTTGTATAAATATAATTATTTAAGTAAATGCTCTGTTTATAATAAACTGTATTAATTACATTCATCAGTCTGAATTATTACTTAATTGTATCTATAAAATTAATGTATATGCAGAAAATGTTAAAATGATTGACGGATAAATCCATTTCATAATATATATATTATATGAAAAGATTACTTTTTAAATATCAATTTTATCATGACATCTATGTTACTTGGTAAAATTTCCAGTCTTCAGGGATTATGGTTTTAAATGGTATTTCCAATTTTTTTTTCTCTCTTTTTTTTTCTAAAGGCAAAAAAAAAATATTGGAAATACTGTTTAAAACCAAAACCCCTGAAGACTGGAAATTTTACCAAGAAACTTCAGTGTTGTGATAAAATTGATATTTAAAAAGTTATGTAATCTTTTCATATAATGTCATTAATGCTCTGTTTTTAATATTATTTTAATATTTTTAATATTGAAAATTATATAAAAATATATCTGCTGTTTCTTAAATCTTAAAACTTAATATATTCATAATATATTCATGCCCATGAACTTAATATATTCATGCCCATGAACAATTAAATGTACTTTTGACTGAATTTCTGGAATGAGGAGTTATCATGATTTGCATTATTTACACAATAGGTCAAAAGTTTGGTGTCTGCCTCTGGATTTTAAGAACTCTCATAAAAATTGAAGGTTGGATGCCTTTTTCCAAACTAATTTACTAACTCACTTTGGATCAGAGGACGTGTGGGTGGTGTAATGCTTAATGGCTTGGAATGAAAAATCGAAGAGCTGAGTTCAAATTCCAGTCCAGTTCGTTAAATTCACTTCTGTGTAAATAGTGTTGGGAAAGGTATGTATCTATCACCTCCCCACAGATATGGGTTAAATAGTATGACTTTTATTTGTTATTCTCAGAAATTTGTTCCTGCAATATTTACTCGAAAAAAAATATTCTTAAAATCAAAAATATGTTTTGGCTTTAAATAACCCACAAAGGGTTGATAAGTCATAAAAAAATCAACAATCTGGCCAGAGGGACTTTGTTTTTCTGAAAAGTATTATAATATATTCAATAATAATAATAATAATAATGAAATTAACCTGTTACTGTTAGTTAAGTCCTGAATTTACTAATATGCTTCAAGACACTTCTCTCAGACAAATATTGGATTTTAAAGAGAATTTTAAATTTGCTGTTTACATTTTTTGTATACAATAGCAGTTTGATGAGTCAATGAGTGACAAAAAATATAGCAATCTTTTAAGAATGGCTAAAAAGTTTACTTATATTCAGAAATTTATTTTTCTTTTCATTTAGATTGGCTTTTTCGACAATTATCTTTCAAATAGAACCAAAATTTCATTTTTTTTTTATATCATTAAGCTTTGCCTGTACAAAGCCAGGGGGCCATTTGGGGTAGAGGGTTATGTTAAAGGGTAGTTTATAAGGATAGGAGGGGAAGACAACAGTTAACTCTAGACTTGAATAGGTTAAGATTGTAGTGATTGGGAAGCATTCTCTTGGGAACCTGTTCCACAGAGCAGTAGTTTATGAGAAGAAGCTGTTTGAGTGGAACTTATTTCTTTCCGATGGAATATGGAGGAAATGTGGGTGGTTTGCTACAATTTAAGTGGCATGGAAAATCTTAGCCGTAAAGGTTAGACTGGGTGTAAACGAGGAATGTAGCTCGTCTGAGAGACTTGCCACATCCTGTCTGTGAGAGAGAAGTTGGAGCGTAGAAAATAAGTCTTCTGTAAAAAGAATTCAGTGATGCTTTTGAACTCTATCAAGACTGGAAAGTGAGGACTGGGAAGCTTCTGCCCAAATATATCAACAGTACTCTTTGGTCTTTGTTTTAAGCCTGATCTGTCTCTTATAAAGATAGAGGATAGCAAGAGGAGTCAGGTACTTGCTGGAGCATTAAAGGGAGATAATCATTTTAACTGCATCTTTAGTGATGGATCGTATATAGGTATTCCACTTGAGGTCAGCTGTGAGTTTGAAGCCCAATATCCTTTCAAGTCAGGGTGTCTCTTCAAGGAGACATTCGGTTGGAGGCATTTAAATTATTTAAAATATGTTTTTCTTTTTTAGAAAGTCTGTGTCTGTACCTATATGAAGATAGATTATGCCGAATTAAGCCAATGTTGAATTAAATAAATTAATAGGGCTTTGTATTAATATAATTAAAACTATAACATGTTGGCATTTACTTGTTCATTATCCCTTTTTTATAATTTGAACAACTGCACATGTTTTAATTGTTAACTTTTCATCGATTACTTGCCCTTGAAAGGCATCACCAACATTTTACTTACATAGACCATTACACAATAATATTATAGATAACAACAAAAGTAACCTGTTTCTGCCTAAAGGTTTTGTTTGTTTTTTTTTAATTTTTACTCTTTTGCCTAATCTACATTGCTAGCTTAAGATAATCTTAGAGCAGGGGGATTTTAAATTTTAATTAACCCACTCTTAAGACTAAATATTACTTTTAGGGGGTTCATTATTACTTTTAAGGGGTTCATGTATTTGGGTTGCTATCTCTGTTACTTTTATTTTCT